AAAGATGCTCGATCCTCTAAGAGAGAGACAGGCCAAGATTATACACTTTGCCAGGCTTCCCGCTCTCCATAGGATTCCACGACTTTCTCAATACGACCTGTATTCCTTCAATCATTTAACAAACACGCATTGAGTCACCACTACCCACCAGAATGTAAGATATCTGACTTCACCACCGTGAAGGACCCCAGTCCTCTGGCTGAGAGCTGGGGCCACCAAGGCCAATAAATACGGTGTGACGCTTAAGTCTAAAAGTCTGGTGAGAAAGGCACTAGCTTCTTCCCTAACTTGGGACAACATTTTTGGTTAAAGTGAAGGGCAGGGAATGGTGGAACCACACAGCTCCTGAGATCATTAGAAGTTTCTAAGGAATGATGATCGTCTCTGAGAGAATATTTAAAAGAACTGGTCGAGGATGGCTCACTGCTTCCCCCTGGTGGAGAGCGGTAGCAAGCACATCAAGCAGCTTCCTGGATCTTTCCTCCACCTGGGCAATCTGAGCCGGGAGCAAGGCTCAGATTTGATACACCCATTCAAAGGGTGACTAGCAGGGTGCCTGCCCTAGGGAAGTTCACAGTCACATGAGGGAGTAAGGAGAGGAGACTGACAATCGCCGTAAGACACGGTCAGCTGGTGACAGAAGTATTCATTCATTCACCCATTCAACAAAGTGCAGAGGCTTTGAGGCAGGAGTCAGGTCTGAGGAGGGATTAACTGGGAGAACAAAGAGAAAGGGGATTCCAGGTAGTGGTGCCTGTGCCAAGGTGTGAAATCCGTGCATGACCTGGGAAACACTAAGTAACCAGTAGACTTGTCCAATACATTTAAGGCTTGAGGGGGAAATGGGAATGGTGGGGCTCCAAACAGAAGCCAAGTCCGGAGCTACTTTGCAAACCGTGCAAAAGACCATGCACTTTAAGCCACTGGTGATCTGCATGGGTTTCAGGCAGCAATTCAGAAATATTTACTAAGTCCCTACAGATATTGACGTCTGGCCGGGAGTAAAATGGTTCGCAAGAAGAGGTACGATCCCTGTCCTGTGGAGGGGGAGACAGGCATCCCCGGACACCCTGGTTGAGCCTCCAACTTCAGCTCAGGTCATGATCTCACAGTTCCTGAGTTCAAGCCCCACATCGGGCTCGCTGCTGTCAGCCTGTCAGCACAGAGGCCACTGCTTGTGCTCTCTCAAAAGTAAACAAACATTTTTTTAATTAAAAACAAACCGGGGCACCTAGGTGGCTCAGTGGGTTAAGTGTCCAACTGCGGCTCGGGTCACGATCTCACGGTTCGTGGGTTCAAGCCCCGCGTTGGGCTCTGTGCTGACAGCTCGGAGTCTGGAACCGGCTTCGGATTCTGTGTCTCCCTCTCTCTCTGTCCCGCCCCTGCTCTGCTTCTCTCTCACAAATAAAATTACAAAAATTAGAAAATTCAAAAAACTCACTCCCCCCAAAAGGCTGAAATTTAAATTAAAATGTGACAAGCGTCCCTGCTGTGTACAGGAAGAGGAGAAATAAAGTATGACATTAAGGGAACTTGGAGTTGAGTGTGTCGACAAGACAGAGTGAGGGGTCCCCAGAGAAGACGAGATACAGCTTTCTTACTATCAGAGAAGCCAGGTTAGGACCCCGGCCATTTTGTGATCAACGCCTGACAGGCACCTCTTCGCACAAGCACTTTTCTTGCAGAACCCCCTGCAATACATAAAGATTGCAGAAAAACATACCTCAGTAGTTAATGACTTTAAGGGAACGAAAGAATGTACAAAACAAACAGCCACTACCAAGCTGCGACAGAGTCCAGCCGCTGCAGAGACAATAAATCAGTGGTAGAACTCCCAGTGCTGTTTCGAAAGTAAACACTGACCTAATGCCTACTCTTGTGTTGTTTTTGCAGGATTCCAGTCCCTGTGAGCACGCAGACATGGGACTCACTGGAGCCAGAGTACGGACGATGCCGACCCCGACCGGCCCCGTGACTTCCATCAACCAGGACCTGGACTCTGTCTTTCGCCCCAATTCTAGACCGAAATGTCCTTTGCCAAGCTCCTCCGTGAATACGCACGTGCCTGCGGCTCCAAACTCCCCCGGTTTTGTGGTTGGGAGAGGCGATGCTCCGAGGGCTCCCCTTACTTGTAACAAGTAATAAAGAGTTCTTTGGGTTGTATTCAATGTGACGCACCCCATGCGGTACTGAGTGGAGCTGCCCCTCATGCCAACCTGTGCGCTAAGCGCCACAGGGTTTGGGCAAACGCGCGGCACCTGGCCACTGCCGTCAAGGCCCCCAGTGGCCGTAAGGCCGGCATCAGAGGCAGAACCCGTAGACGGAATCCGAGCCGCCTGGGAAAGAGTTGGTGGAGGCATGGAGGGTGAAGGGGAACTGAACCGGCCACCCCAAAGCATGTCTCTTCGGCATAAGGGTTATTTTAGGCTGATCATCTTTTTTAATCATTAATGTTTTCTATTTATTTTTGAGACAGAGACAGAACACGAGGGGGGCGGGGAGAGAGAGAGAGAGGGAGACACAGAATCCGAAACAGGCTCCAGGCTCCGAGCTGTCAGCCCAGAGCCCGAGGCGGGGCTCGAACTCACAGACCGCAAGATCATGACCTGAGCCGAAGTTGGATGCTCAACCGACTGACCACCCAGGTGCCCCTATTATTATTATTTTAAAGAGAGAGAATCTTAAGTAGGTTCCACGCTCAGTGCAGAGCCCGACGCAGGGCGCGATCCTGCAACCCTGGGATCATGACCTGGGCCAAAATCACGAGTCAGATGCTCAACCAACTGAGCCATCCAGGCACCCCTCATTTCTGTGCATCTAGATCAAAACTGAAAAACAGCAGATTAGAGGCCCTCTCAAGGTTTCACCCAGCCCAGGATGTCACAAAGGCTGAGTGTTCAACCCACAGAGGGCAGCTCCACTTACAAGGGCTTCTCCAAACTCAGTAGCACAACTCTGTGAGAAGATGCAAACTGAACTCTGAAACGCAATTAAGAGCCTAACCTCAGTCCTCACTCTCCTGCATTGTAGGGGGCAAGGAGGAAGGACAGGGGAGGGGCATAAATTGAGACGAACTTTCTGGAAAGCTACGTGGCAGTGTTCACCAGACTATCTGGAGGCATTTTTGTTTGTCATGACCGGGACTGGGGGAAGAGAGGGTGTTCCTGGTATCTAGCAGGTAGAGGCGAGGGATGCTACCATATCCTTCAATGACAGGACAGCCCCCAACTCAGGGTCCCTTTGATTGTAGCTTGGATAAGGATCTGCTAGGAAGAAAGAATACAAAAGGGCATGCGTGGGGATCTGGGCCAATAACCTGTGTCATATATGTTCTCTTTCCTTCACTGCTGTATTCCAGCCCTGCTGGAACAGAATAGTCAGTAAATACTTGTTGAATGCTCCACGTTGAGTCCAGCAAAGGCATCTGTGAATAAGCACCTGCCTGACTGCCCCAGACTAAAGTTCTACAGTGACACCTTGTGGCCGAAACGGAAACAAGCAGGCAGACGGACCAATAACCCTTTGGCTGGTGTTTGCCCAGCTGACCCCTTAGGACTGCAAAGGCCCCAGAATTTGTGGGGAAATCATGAGGTTAGGGAGAAGCAGGAGGCCTCAAGAGGATGATATCTGATGTCCTGCTAATGAAGGCAAACAGGGGTCTGAGCAATTAATGGGAAAGATCAAAGAAAGAGGATGTTAAGAAAGAAAAAAACACGCCCAAAATTGAGTCATTCTACCAAGATAGCAAACCCGGACTTAATTAGTTTTAACCTCTCCTGAAACAATCTTCCCTTTTGTTTTGTTAAGAACTCTGTTGTCCCTCCCTCCTGCCTATAAAAACCTTCCATTTTGTACAACTTCTCTACTTGCTGGAAAGGATGCCGCCTGATTCGCAACTGATCTCCAGTTGAATTTTATTTCTTAACAATTTGGACCCCAAACGGATGAAACAAGTCACAGAAGTTATTTCATGAGGTGAAAAAAAAAAAAAAAACAGGTTTCAAAATGTGCATGGATAATCCTAATTCTATTGTTTAAAAATAGTTACGTGGGGCGCCTGGGTGGCTCAGTTGGTTAAGCGTCCAACTTCGGCTCGGGTCATGATCTCACGGCTCGTGAGTTGGAGCCCCGCATCGGGCTCTGTGCTGATAGCTCAGAGCCTGGATCCCGCTTCGTTTTCTGTGTCCCTCTCTCGCTGTGCCCCTCCCTCACTCATGCTCTGTCTCTCTTTCTCTCAAAAATAAATAAAGCATTAAAAAAAATTTTTTTAATAGTTATGTGGGGCACCTGGGTGGCTCAGTCGGTTGAGAGTCCAACTTCGGCTCAGATCATGATCTCGCGGATCATGAGTTCGAGCCCCACACCAGGCTCTGTGCTGACAGCTCAGAGCCTGGAGCCTGCTTCCGATTCTGTGTCTCCCCCTCTCTCTCTGCCCCTCCCATGCTCATGCTCTGTCTCTCTCTGTCTCTTAATAATAAATAAACATTAAAAATTTTTTTTAAATAGTTATGCACATACCCACTTGTCTGTAACGATTACACCAAAACACTTACCAAAATGACAACAGTAAGTTCCCTAGGGGGTAGAGCTTGGGCAGTCATTTTCTTTTGATCTATTTTCTGTTTTGTTTTACAATGAATGTATATGGTTTAGGTAAAAAATAATTATAATAAGATAAGAAGTTAGATGGATACAGACCCAAATACAAAGGCATTTAAGAATGTCTCTGGTAAAAAGACCCTGATCACCTATGCACACCCTGTATTTCCACATCTGGGCCCTTATTATCCAGATCCAAATGCTCTCTGACCTCAGCTCTTCCTTGAGCAAGAGCTTCCAAGAGTTGACCCCACCACTGCTCCTCTCTCCTCTGCTCATGAGTGGAATTTACCATCCAAAGCTGACTCCGTCTCATCCTGGCCTGCAGAGTGGGCACAGAAATCTGGAGGAACCGAGGCAGATGTGCTGGGGAGGGGTCTCCATCCCCAAGGCCCGCTCACCTGACATGTGGACGTTGCGGAGGCAGGAGAGGGAGGCATTGAGGCGGGCACACTCCTCCCGGTTGGCTCCGTATTTCTCCACGGTCTCACACACCTGCTCATCTGTCATCTCCAAGAGGTCCTCCAGACTCAGCTGGCCAGGGGTGATTTCCTGCAGGAGGGAAGTAAGGAGCTCTGTGAACGTGAAGGGACCTCAAGCACCCAGAGGGAAGGAAAGTGGGCTGAGCCTCCGTGCTGCCCTCTAGTGGTACCCAGCGGAACACCCGGCCCTGTGCGGAAGGTTGGGTCTCTGACTCCTGAGTCCAACAGGCCTCCGTTTGAGGTTTGAATCTCAGCTTTGCCACTCATTGCCTCGGGCAAGTCACTTACCCTCTCTGAACCTCACTTTACTCACCTGTACAATGGGTGTCTTAAGTGCTTGTACTTTGTAAGGTAGCGCCTATCTTTAGCACATAGCTAGCGCTCCATAGATGGTGATAGTTAATTATCTGTCCCCCTCGGTAGCTTCTTTATGGGCAGGGCTCCACTTTCCTTGTCTTTGGATGGCCCTCTGTGTCTCCTGTTCAGCTTGGCTTGTCCCCAGTGCAGGGCAAACTTGGAGCAGAGCAAACTGGATAGCCCAAGTCTCTTGGTGGCTGTCCTCCCCAGCCACCCATTCGAGATTCCAGACTGGGGCTTTAGGAGCCCTAAGGGGCAGTAATCTGGAACACTGTGGGTATGTGCTGGAAATGAAACTGGACTGGTGACTGAGCCCCCCAGGGCATGGGTCTATATTCTAAGACAAAATGGTAAGGCTGGGGTATAGCACGGGGCGGGGACAGGGACACCTCTGGAGAGATCAGCTGGGAACAGAACCAGTAGGATTGCCAGCTATAAATGTCTTGGGCAGGTGTCCCTTCCCACACCCCCTTTCCCAAAATGATGTGTCCCTGGACACCATAATATAGATAGATATACCTTTAAATTTGTCAAACTTCAATACTTATGCATCTTCATGCATTTATGCATATTTATGCATTGACATCTATACATGTGTATCAAATGGAGAGCCTTCGTTTTATAGCAGTTAATGGTATGCAATGTTTTTACATATATTATTATTTAAATAAGAATTTTAAATACCTAAAGACGGAGACTCTAGGACAACATTGTGGATTACTTCTGCCCTCTTGTGGCCATACCTGTGTATTACAACAAAATCGGACACCTACCCCGCCCCCCCCTCCCCCCCCCCCCCCCCATCCCCAAGGCACACACATAAACTGGCAGCCAGAAGGGGGAAAACCGCATTAGTAAAAAAAAAATCCACCCCCCCCCCAACAAAACAGAGGCAGGGCAAAAGCCACGAAGCCCAATCAGTGCCCTTCCAGCTCACTAGGTCAGGGAGCAGGAGAGAACGGTAATTGGGGTTTCTCATATAGGGACGCGGTGCACATAAACCCCGCCTTAAGAAAAGTGATAGTCCAGGATCTGAAGGTACAAAATGAGTCATATTTAGAAGAACTCATTCACAACATTAAAGAATTCTCCTCTTTGCTGCAGGACTCACTTGTGCACTGTAACCCCATAATTTACCCCCCAAATATCCAATTTTCACTGAAAAGTTGGGGCCACAGGAAAAAAATCACAGAAATAATAATGACGTCAAAAATGGACAAAGCCTTAACAACCCAGACTAAAAGGAAAGACGCACGTGTGTTTGATAAAAGAATAATAATAAATGAAAATGAAGTGGATGGAGCACTGTTTTAAGTGCTTTTCCTGGATTTTCCTTTGTCACAAAGACCACATAAAGTAAGTACTTTTTTTTTTTTAATTTTTTCAACGTTTTTTATTTATTTTTGGGACAGAGAGAGACAGAGCATGAACAGGGGAGGGGCAGAGAGAGAGGGAGACACAGAATCGGAAACAGGCTCCAGGCTCCGAGCCATCAGCCCAGAGCCCGACGCGGGGCTCAAACTCACGGACCACAAGATCGTGACCTGGCTGAAGTCGGACGCTCAACCGACTGCGCCACCCAGGCGCCCCCAAAAGTAAGTACTTTTATCATCACCATTAGTCTGTAATTAGGGTCCTAAAATTCAGAGAGGTTAGTCCACTTGCCCAGGGTCACACAGGAAGAAAGGAATTCAGGGAGTTGCCTGGGACCCTTTTCCATACTGCTGGTTCCTCCTCAGAAAGGGGACCTGGGTGGGGGAGGGGGGGACTCACACAGGAGCTGCAGTCAGAGGGCCGGAAGCCCAGCTCCCTCCCTATCCCCCCGGTTAGTGGCCTTGGACCCAGGACGGGAACAGACTACTGTAGGAGCCAGAGCTGGGGCACCTGCAGGCCAGGTAAATGTACATGAGCAAAACTGCTAACTAGCGGGGACCTGTAAGATCCACGGGACAGCAGAATTCAGCTCATTGCCACCAGACGGGGATTTAGGTTGGTGTGTTCAGCAATTCGGATGTTTTCAGGAGAAGTCAGAGATCTGGGTTTTTTAATGCAAACTCTTTAGCTGTTAAATATTAGCTCAAAAAAAAAATTTTGAGAATGCTGTATCAGACAAACAAAAAATGTCTGTGTATCGCATACAGCTTAGGGGCCACCAGTTTTCAACCCCTGGACGAGAACACTGTTTCTGTATTGATCCCACCTGATAAATACATGGTCCCAAAAGCCTCCCAAAAGTGAACTGGCGCGTGCAAGGAAGATGTACTGTCTGGGGGTGCCTGGGGGGGGGGGGGGAGTCAGTCAGTTAAGCGCCTGACTCTTGGTTTCGCTGGCGTCATGATCTCGCGGCTTCATGGGTTCAAGCCCCGCCTCCGGCTCTGAGGACAGCACAGAGCCTGCTTAAGATTCTCCTTCTCTCCCTCTCTCACCCACCGCCCCCATTCGTGCTTTGTCTCTCTCAAAATAAATAAATAAACTTAAAATAAAATAAGATGTTCTGCCTGTGGTTATATGTGACCTTTCATTTTAAGAATATTCACATGAGGGGCGCCTGGGTGGGGCAGTCGGTTAAGCGTCCGACGTCAGCCAGGTCACGATGTCGCGGTCCGTGAGTTCGAGCCCCGCGTCGGGCTCTGGGCTGATGGCTCAGAGCCTGGAGCCTGTTTCCGATTCTGTGTCTCCCTGTCTCTCTGCCCCTCCCCCGTTCATGCTCTGTCTCTCTCTGTCCCAAAAATAAATAATAAAACGTTGGAAAAAAAAAAAAAGAGTATTCACATGAAACCTCCATCCTGGGAATGAAATAACATAGAATCAAACACCATCTAGCGCGCATGCGTGAAATGGGGGGCAAGGATGGGGCAATGTGCGGGTCCTCTGTCTAGCTCAGGATCCGGTGGGTTCAGGCGAGCTGTCACAGAGGTCAAGGTCTGGAAAAAACAAAGGCCGTTTCAAGCAAAAAGTGTGCACTGAGAGAAATGGCATTTGGTCCTGCGGGGGGTGGGAGGAGGGCTCTTTTTATTCATGTTTATTCATTTTTGAGAGGGGGAGGGGCAGAGAGAGGAGGACAGAGGATCCGAAGCCAGCTCTGAGCTGACAGCAGTCAGCTTCCCAAACTTCCCAAGTTAGAAGCTTAACTGACTGAGCCACCCAGGGGCCCCCAGCACCCTCGCTCCTACCCAGCTCAGAGAGTCCCAGGCCAGAGGAAGAGGGAGAGAAATCACAGTGCCTCCCACATGCTCCAGAGTCCTCCCAAGCTTCCAGACCCATCCACCCACTAGCAAGGGAAGCCGCTTCATCTCTGAGCCTCAGATTCCAGATCCGCACGATGGGGATAACGGTCCCCACCTCAAAAGGTCATTGTGAGGGTCTGAACAGCCTCAACAGTTGAGGCCCTGGGTGTAAAACCCTTAGGACAATGCCTGGCCCCATGTGTTCAACGAATGTAAGTGGGTTTCACTGGGACGGGCTGGACTGGCTACTGGAAACAGCCGTGACCTGGGATCCAAGAGGGTAGGACAAAATCTCACCATCCTCGAGATTTTCAGGACGTGGTCCACTCCTATTACTATCAAAGTTTTCAACAATAATAACAAGCTGATACTTGCTGAATGCTACTAGGTGCCAGAGAGTGAATGTAACATTTTAGATGGATCATCTCATTTTGTCATACGAGCTACTTCAGAAGAGGAGACCATCATTACCCCACTTAACAGATGAGAAAAGTAAGGCCCTCAGTCTGGGGTGCCCAATATGGTGGCCACTGGCCACACTAATGACACACGCACTAATCACAATTCAAGTGTTCAAGAGCAAACACGTGGCCGTGGCTACCGTATCGGACAGCACAGGTACAAAACATTTCCACCATAGCAGAAGGTTCTTCTGGGCAGCACCGGTCTAAGAGGTAACGTGATTTGGCCACGGTGACTGAGCTAATGAGTAGCAGGGCTGGAAGAGGACCCAGTTGAACGGAGAACCACATTCTTAACCATCTGGACAGCATCGAAGATCCTCTGTGCCTTCACCCAACACATATTTATGGAGGGCCTATCGTGTGCCAGGCACAGGCAAAAACCATCTCTCCAAGGGACCAGCATCAGCCGGTAAGGGGCAGGGGACAGGGGACGGTCTCTAGTCACCTCTAGGACTTCCTTGCGCACATCGACGATCCGGAACCAGTGCCGGAGCTGGGGGAAGCCATCCAGCTCGGCGTTGCGTTCCTGCAGGGCCACCTTCTTCTTGCAGGACAGCTGTCGGCTGAAGTATTTCACCAGCTTGCTCTGGGGAGACACAGAGGAGAACAGAGGACACATCTCAGAGACACCACCATAGGAGAACAAGCAAGAATCTTCCCATTGCCTTCACCCTGCCCGAAAACCATCCAACTCCCATTCTATTTTTTTTAGTTTATTTACTTTGACAGACAGAGAAAGAGAGCAAGCAGGGGGGAGGGCAGAAAAAGAGAGACAGAGACAGAGACAGAGAGAATCCCAAGCAGGCTCCACCCTGTCAGCACATAGTCCTACGTGGGGCTCGAACTCCCCAACAGCGAGATCATGACCTGAGTCGAAATCAAGAGTCAGTTGCTTGACCCACTGAGCCACCCACGCACTGCTCCCCTGCAACTCCTATTTTAAAGACTGGTGTCACAGCAGTGAGGAGGGACACACACTGGTAGCACTTTATTGAGGGGAGCCTTTTGGCTGCAATCTTCCACATTTCCACTGCACAAATCCTTGGACCCAACAATTCCACTTCTGAGAACTCACCTAGAGATGCCATCCTGTGCAAAGTGGCTGTAAAAAGAATATTTCTTACGGTTCTACTTGCAATGGGAAAAGATGGAAAACACCCTGGGTCCATCAGCAGGAGATTCATAAATGCAGGTATATGCACACAAGGAAACTATGCAGCTATAAAAT